ATATATATATATATATATATATATATATATATATATATATATATATACATACACACACATACACAGTAGTTCTTCGCTACTTCGTGGTTTGTTTATAGCAGAATCGCTAGCTTGTGGTTTTTCAAAATACGATTGGACATGACAAGAGGCTGATTGATGGAAGATCCATGGGTTGTCTATTTAAAATAAATTATTTTAAATGATTTTGCACCATGTGTGTAGCCCACAAGAGCAGGGGGAAGCTCCCTCCTGCAGCAGATCAGCAGATCATCTCCTCTGCCACAAACATTTCTCCTGCTGCAGCTTTATGAAGGGTTAACCCTTTGCTGTCCAGATGCACTGATAGACTTTTGTCTTCCAACTTAAAATTCAAAGTATGTCACATCGTAAAATCGTCATAATAACAAAATATAAAAATGTTACGTTATTTTTTATTATTTTAGAACTTCTATGTTCAGTGTTGAAGTGTAATTGATCAAGACGTGCATTTCTGCTTCGTGCTGCAGAGCTGAGGCTGTGTGACATCCCTTTGATGTCCTGCTGCATGTCTTTACAATTTAAATTTAAAAACTGTAATATTTTAAATATTTATTTATACAATTTAACCTTTATTTAACCAAGCAAATCCCACTGAGATCAAAGAGCTCTTCTGCAAAGGAGGCCTGGGGGCAGTCTTCCATGCATGTTTTTGGTGTGTGGGAGGAAACCGGAGTACCCGGAGAAAACTCACGCAAGCACGACAAGAACATGCAAACTCCACACAGAAAGACCCCAGGTCCAACCGGGGATTGAACTCAAGACCTTCTTGCTGTGAGGCAACAGTGCTAACCACTGAGCCGTCGTGCTGACAAATAAACAATCCATGTTGCATGGACTGTTTATTAAAAATGTTACAGTATTTAAATTTAATTTATTTATTTAAGGAGGGAGATTAGGAGTAACAGGTGATGAGTGTGATTGCAGCCTGGCACGCCAGGACAAAGTTTACTGAACTTGAACTTCTGTATCCCTACTTTGCGGTTTTTCACTTATTGTGGGTGGGTGTGGTCCCTAACACCCACGATAAACGAGGGACCACTGTGTGTGTGAATATATATATGTATATGTATATAGCTAACAGAATAATCCTCGGTTTATTCTCTAAGGGTTTTTCTCATGTCTGCAGTAGAGAACAAAATGATGGATGACAAATGGAAGCTGAAGTGATGAGGTGTGACTAAATACAGAGATTCAGTCCTCAAACACAATTACAGAACACGTCACTCTAAAATAATACAACAGAGAGCACAGCAAAGACAGTTCTCACCTGACTTCCGTACAGTTCCTGGAGTATTGTTCCCACCACCTGGCGCCCCAGGTCCCCCCGTCCCTGCTTTCTTTGTCAGTAGACTGTTGAAGAAGTTGGCCAGCACACCCTCACTTGTTTGACCTGCAGCATAAAGGGACTGCAGTGAAACAGCACACAACCAGCAGAGACAGTGTGGCAGACAGAGGTGGAGGGATGTGCCAATACCTGACTGCGGCATGGCGTTTGCTACGTTGGCTGCTGCAGAGCGATTACTCGTCCTCGGGGAGCCTGTGGGTGCCCTGCTAGTAGTGTCCTGAAACCACAAGGGTTTTTTTTTTCAGAGATGCTAACACTGAATGAAGATTTTCTTTCATCTCAGGAGCCAAATAAATAAATAAATAGAAAAGAAGTAACACTCACCACTGGTCGCCCTGCTGTCACAGCAGGCTGTTTGGAAAGCAGCGACTGCAAATGAGCACAATATGCACACTCACTCCAATTAGTACTTAATTAACATATCAAGACCCTCAAGTTCGTTAGATTTAATTTGTGCACCCGTAAGCAGAAAAACAACTTGTATTGACTTAAATGGTTTCTGACCTGCAGCTTTACCAAAAACACCTGGTCGTCTTCTGCCTGAATTTCTTTTTCATGAACAATCTAGTAGAAAAAAATAAAATAAAAAAAATCACAGTTTGATTCCAATTTTTGTTTTTCAGCTAATAAAACTGATTGCATAAAACTCCCACAATCCCCACAGGAGTATTGGATTACACTTTGAGCAATCAAAGATTGATTATATGTGAAGTCATGCATTATGTAAAGATATTTGTAGCTTTTTGTACCTTTCTGACAGGCGGTTTGATTATTACATCTTCATAGCTGTTATCTGCCTTTATTGTCTGGAAGTTCTCGTGAAGTATGGCGATCTTTTTCTCATTGTCCCAGCCTGACGGACTAATTAGAGGACACAGAGTGTTACAAATGAAACACAGATGGTTCTATGTTGCCTGGATGACACAGTGAACACATTACATGAAGGCTTACATGAAGACTGCGTCTTTTTCCACCACCTGAGCAGGACAGTGGAAGGGAAAGCCGTAGAGTTTGTGGACGAGATATTTGTAAAGGATGTCCAGGTTCTTCATCTCCTTCACTGACGTGTAAAGCAAAGAGGCTCCGTCTGACAGGACTGTCAAGGATACTCCTTCAACAAATCTACTCAAAACGATTAAAAGACGGACATCGGTGTGGTCTGTTAAAGAAGGCAGAGCTTCAGCTCAACTGATTGCAGAATGCAACAGTTCAATGCAACAAAAATACAGCAAGTGAATATAGAAAGACTGTGCATAAGGAAAAAAAATCCCTCCTGATCCAAAAAACCATAAACAGTCACACTCACTAACACAGCCACATAAAGACCTTGCCTAAGCACCAAACATTGTGCAGTGTTAGTTGTGTTAGTTCAAGGATACACTGCAGACAGAAACGTCTGATGTGGGACTGGATGAAGTCCAAGTGTTCGTCCCTGTAATCATGCTCCTTCTCCAACGTACTGATGGCATCACACTGAGGACAAATAAGCAGGTGACACTCATCACTTGTGAGCAGATGGAGTCCATTTCAAGGGAAAAGTTACAAATGAATAGTGTGTTTGTGTACCTTGGTGCAGACCACCACCACTGGAATTCCCAAGTTGTGTGTCAGTGTGTTGTTCCCTAATGGTAGTAATATGCTCTCCTCCTCTTCACTCCTCCTCTGTGGCGTGACATCCTCTTCACTACCCGGCTCCGTGTACTCCTGAAACTGTTTAACAACTGCAAACAATAGCAGTACAAAAAAAAAAAAAAAGAAGGCTACATGTTAAAACACGAGTCACAAGAGGGCCTACTTTTACTGAACCGTTTAATATTTGTATAAAAGTGTAGTTCTTCCGGCCAGGAGGCCTGATGGCTGTCTGTATGACTCACTTTTGTGCTCGAGCTCCCGCAGCTTTTCCGGGGCGACTCTGAGTTTGTCGATGTGTTCCCTAGCAACAGCAGCCCACTTCTGAAGAGAGTCCAGGGCGTTCCACGGCCGTGACATGTCAACCGTTATCAGCAGCAAAGTGTTATCCATGGAGTCCACCGGAACGGCAACTCCCTGCAGACCTTTATGGCAAAGGTCGCCATCTAAGACCCACGCGTTGCATCTGGTGTGGTCTAAATAAACAGACATACGCAAAACAGGTCTAGATTATTATATTATTATTACTGATGTCCTTTTTTTTTATTAACTCTATTATGTTTTTAAAAAGTCAAAATATTAGCAATTTATTTAATAAACTGAAACCGGCTGCTGGTTACCATCAACGTCATCATCATGGACACTAAAGTAGAGATATTCCAGACCACGTCCTTTCATGTACTCCTCAACCCCCTGAAGTTTTGCAACCAAGGTGGTCTTCCCTGAGCCCACCTCACCTAAACATTGAAAATGAGTAAAAACATGAATTAAATGAGTTCCAAAAAGAAAAATAAAACATGCCTTTTATGCAACAAGCCTAGATACTAGGGGTGCACCGATTGCAGTTTTCTGGCCTATCTCCGATCACCTATTTCTAAAAAGTCTGACCTGCCGATACCGATTTTGTTTTATAAGCGACACTGTCAGGTGTTATAAGGTCACCATGCACCTTCAATTTTCCAAGCTTATTTTTTTGACAAACATACCCTTGAACAATATCCTAGAAACAATACAAACTAGTTTTAACTGGCCATGAGGTAGTGCTCTGAAATATAAATGAAGTTCAGACAATTGTCATTAAAACTTGAAATTTTTTTAAATTAAAATAAAAAATAAAAAAAATCGGTAAAATCAGTGCATGCAAGTATCGGCCGATTTCCGATTTCCCAAAATAAAGGAAATCGGGGCCGATTTATCGGTGCACCCCTACTAGATACTGTTTAAAAACAACCAAAACCACATGGATTTTCTGTATAAAGTTGTCAACATTCACCAATGTCTTTATATTAAATCCCCAAAACAAGTAAATATAAAATTATATTTAAAAAATAACATTTTCAGAAACTTTTGGTTGTTAAACTTTTACCTTTGCTCTCAACTTCGAGAAAAACATTAAGAAACGCACCCTCGCCTTATATCTTGCTGCAAAGAGAAGAATGTGAACTTAGCATCTTATCTAAGATAAGTATGGATTTAAATCTTAATTCAGTCCAAACTGATCAGTTGTTTCTAATGCAAACAATGATGATAAACAAGAAATGCTTTAGGGTTCAATAGACGTACTATTAAGTCAACTAACCTGGTACAATTGTTAAGGATGTACAATTTTTAAGTGTGCAAGAATTGTTTATTTCCTAGTAAAAAAATAAATGGCGTAAATTTCCCATCATTTTTGAATATTGTACCGGTAATCATCACACAGTGCAGTGTCTTTAAAAATCTAGTTACTAAGGACAAGATGCTGTGAACATGTCTTACTTTGTTCATTCAGCAATTATAAACAAAAAAGATAGTTATTTGTGTAAAAAAAACCAAGAAGCTTATTTTAAACTGGATGTTTTTCATTGGATGGAGAACCTACTTAATAATTTGCCCTGAAAATAAAGTTCAGTTTTACGTCAACAACCAAAATTGTGTATAAAATATACATGTCTAATTGCAAGAATTTTATGTTGAAAACATTCCAATCTATTTGACTTGCAACAAATGTCTAAATGAGGGATCAGTAGCTGAAATAATTCAGTGTACATCTTCAGACAATTGTTTCTGCACATGTCCAGACATTAACGCTAACGTGGACAGCAGACAGTGTGACAATCGTTATTGTAGTGCATTGAAAAGGTCAACTCTGCATAATTTCTTTTCATATAAACTCGAGCTGACAGGAGGACTCGTTATGAATCCACACACCCACACTTAACAAAGGTAACCCTCTCTCTGTTAATCTGGATAGGGTGTAGTGGATTTCCCCAGGTGGATGTGTAGATAGTGTGTGTTTCATGTTTCATGTTTCAGCAGCACAGAGGAAACACATTCTTCGCTTCACTCACTTAAAGCTTTTGACTAAAGAAAACACTAACTGCTTTTGTGTACAGCAGGCTGTTGTAACAAATAATCAAACCACACTCCTTTTGCCAACTACTTTTTAAATACATTAATAGCGTTTGCCCTAGTCAAAAATATGTACTTAATAGTCATTTTAAAATAAAAGATTAAAAAAACAACATTCCTGCGAAAAAAGTTATATTTCAAGGCGTAAAAGTTTCAATGATCATTTTGATCATTCATTGTGTAGATAAATATAATTTAATTCTTCCCAGCCAAAAATAACTTTTCAAATACCCAAAGGGGTATGCTTTCTTTCCATAATCAACATTTTAGAAACGTCAAAAAGACATTCTTCCTTTAGGATCAGTGATGTCACTTTCACATCTAGTGAATTTTTCAGATTCAAGTATCGACATTAATTTTTCATTTAATAATGGAAATTCTAGATACCTGAGAGTTTGTACTGGGAGGAAATCACATTTCAAATATGTTGTCTTCTATAATGTATTACATTCAATTTTAGCCACTCCTGTTCCATGTTAACATGAAATACCATCATATACCTAAAATAACTATTTAGACAACAGTAATTACAGTGTTGCTAGTCAATATTTTATTTACTAATATCTGTAATTGTACTTTTAATAAGTCATAATAAACATACTACACTTAATGACACTTTCGCTAATCAAAATGTTAATTCTGTTTAAACGTATGATGCGAAAAGAATATTATACAAATGCATTGTTTTTGCACAATAGTTTCCATGTGGAAATAATAGGTGTTTTTTTTTTTGGTGTATTTTTTCACAAGTTCATTTATTTAATAAAATGAATGAGGTTTTTATTGTGATCAATATTTCTGAAATGTGAATTTCTCCATGTTAAAATAAGTCAGATATATCTAGAGCATGGGTGTCAAACTCATTTTCATTTTGGGCCACATCAAGCTCATGAATGTCCTCAAAAGGCCAGGCATGACAAAATGTATTGATAAAACTACCTATTAAACTGGTAAAATATAACTTTCTCTGCATTCAATGACTAACGTTCTTCTAAATATTCAATATTTTATGTTTGAGTAATCTGGCATTATAAACATAAAAACTAATTTGATTTGACTGATAAAAGTAATATTGAAGTACAAACTGTTATCTTGAAGTTCTGTCTCTGCGGCCCTCTAAGGTGTAGAGAGCCACAAAAATGGTTATGGCGAGCCAGATTTGGTCCACGGGTCTTAGAGTTTGACACTGGATCTAGAGTTAAAAGCCCAGTATACATTAGGAGTGCACCGATTGCAGTTTTCTGACCGATCACCGATTTCTAAAAAGTCTCATCTGCCGATTCCGATTTTGGCCGATACTGATTTTGTTTTATAAGCGACACCGTCAGGTGTTATAAGGTCGCAATGCACCTTCAATTTTTCAGTCTGATTTTTTTTTTGAAAAACACCCTTGAACAATATCCTAGAAACGATACAAACTTGTTTTAACTGGCCATGAGCGCTCTGAAATATAAATGAAGTTTGGACAATTTGTTGTTAAAACAAAACAAAACAAATTGATAAACATCTTTCTCATGCAAGTATCGTCCGATTTTCGATTTCCCAATATTAAGGAAATCAGGGCCGATAAATTAGCTGGCCGATTTATCGGTGCACCCTTAGTATACATGATTACAAATTTACACTATTTGTTCTAAAAATATTTGTGACTTTACTTTGTTGATTGTGGATTAAAAAAAAGCCTTTGTATCAAGCTAAAACATTTATTTATTTATTTATTTTTTTTGGGGGGGGGAAAGCAAATTATGAGCATCTGCATTATAAGACTGTTAGGCTATTAAATGATAAACTGGCTTGCCATACTATATGCGTTTCCTCCCTGGTCCTCTCCTCCTGCTAGCTGCTGCTAGCATCACTGGATGCTAGAATGACTTGCAGGCTTTGAGGGCGACTCGGTCTCATAAGATGATGAACCAGTATGTGTGTGTGTACCATAAAAATAAACCAGTCTCTGCCTCTCCTCAGCAGCCAGAAGCTCCACAAAAGCACTGTTGGAGCAAGCTAGCTAACCCTACCGAGCAGGCATAAGCCCAGCCATGATCAGGACGATGATCAGCAGGTCCTGTTTTAGCCAGCACACTCACTGCAGACTGATACCCACCCATGACCAGGACGTTTTTCCCACACGGCAGCTTTGATCTTGAATGGGTTGACACTTCGCTCAAAATGGTGGACCTGCAGACAGAGCAGACCCCCATTACAACACAGCCAAACACGGCTCGTTTCACTCATTCACAAACAATGACTGACAAGCGGAGCTAAAGCGAGGCTCGTGCCGCTCTCCATTCAGTCGGGTGCTGATGCTAGCTAGCCTCATTAGCATGCTAGCTGTCAACCCATCCTCAACCCACAGCGAGTCCCCACACCCTGAACACCATAAACCCGCTTTAAAACCTCAGTCCCCACCATAGATTCTGTCCGTCATCCTCCTCCGGGTTGGAGCTCTCCGCTGTGCTCTTAGGTCCAGCTAGGGTGGAGGATAATAATGCACTCCTCCCTGACGTCGCCATCTTTGCAGGGCTTGTAAACCTAACGGGTCGCCCGGATGTAGCAGCAGCAGCCGCAGTGAGCTAACTGAGGCGCGTGCACCGCTCAACACGCCGGGGCGTGGTCCCCCCCTCCCGCAAAAACACCAAATCTCTGGTACCACAGAGTGGGTCAAAATATTTATTTCATAAGCATGTATAATATATTTAATATAGATAGATTTTAATAATTCTATCCAAGGATTTTTTTTTCCCAGCAGCATCAGACAACAAAAATGAAAGTTGGAAAAAATATAAACAAGACAATGCAACATAATGGTTGACAAGTGCAAAAAGATTAAAATTGTGCAATGGTTGATTCAAAACGATGCAAGAACTTTTAAAGAATGTACAAATATGATTTGAAATGTGCATAAAATGAGTGCGATTTGTTCACTTTGAACTGGTGCAGTCTACAATAATGGAGCCAGCAGCTTCAGCAAGTTATATTACAGGCTCTGAATGTAAAATAATTATACATGGACTTTTTAAAAGTGGCTCTTGTCTGAATGTTGCTTGTTGGTAACATTATCTTATGGTGGAGCAACGTGCCGAAGAGTCTACGTGTAATTCTAGAAACTTTACATAAATCAAGATCATAACAAAACAAGAAGTTATAGGGTCAAATTGCAGCGTTTGATCATCACTGCTTCATTTCAGTGTGTTTCTTCTCATTGCTTTGTTTCTTTCCTGACACCCATTGTTATAATTTGTGGTGTTGCAGCTCATTGTTTATGGAACTCCATAAACTAGTTTTTTTTTTTTTTTTTGTCTTTCAGGAGTGAAGCACAGATTTTCCACAAACATCAGTGTTGTCCTGGCACTCAGGTGATGATGGCTCAGGTGAAGTAGAGTTTCTATTCCACTTCTCAATCAATTCGCCTTTTAAACACTTTTTTTTTTTCTTGAAGGAGGCTGAATTCTCAGGCTGTAAATGAAGGAAATGTGTGGAAATTATAAACAATTAAGACAGGCAAAGTAGTTCCTGCAGATTGTAGCCTGAACATTACTGCAACCATTTTATCTTCAATAAACTGTTAAGATCAAAACAAAATTATGATAACCAGTATACCTTTAAAAATTATATACACCTAAACACACAATATCAGTATTTTATGTTGCTGTAATTGGTTCACTGTTGCCTCAAGGCAACGTATGCATTAACCATAATGTGACGTTTTTGCCTCAGGACAGTCGTTGCATTTTAACAAGCTTCCATTATTTGAGTAGCAAAAAAGTTACATTAAACTATAACAGGTACAGTTCAGTCAATGAACATTTAGATTTTTATTTTCAGATGGAAAAGGGCCAAACATGAAGTTTTCAGACTTGTTTTGTGGCTTAATCTGGTGACGCTGCTTCTTTCATAAAGATCTACAAAAAGGATTGAATATGGTAAAAGTTGTGAAAAATTAAAGCACTCAGGTCACTATTAAAAACAGAAAGTATTGCATCATAAAAAGGAATGCATAGTGGATATATAACAGGCCGAAAATGGGTTTGTTGTCCCAGGGCAACATGGCACAACAAATGGATATCAAAAATACAGAACCTGGGTTTGTGGAGGATTCTGATTAATTTTCTTTAAAAACAATTAAGAAAACTCACATTTTGAAGAATTTGTGCATCTTTTGACTTTAATGGTTTAGGAATTTTATTTTAACAAATATCCGTTCATTATCTTTACCTGCTTCTTCCTTTCAGTCAAATGGTGACACTGTGGAAGTTATTAAGAGGAGGAAATTTATCTTGTTTTTATTTCATGCTTTTGTCTTTAAAAGCAAAATAAAACACAGTAGATTTTTTTAAATAAATGACCAAAAACTTGTTAATATTCCTTTACACCCTAGCCTACATATAATCTTCTGAAATTGAGAAATCCCATTAGTTTGTTGTTAACATTTTGCTACATTTAGCTGCTGTTCTGCTACTTTTAATTAACATTTTGCAACTTTGGGATTTTTTTCTACGCTTTTAATAGTTTTAGATCTTAAATAACCTTTTGCAGCTTGTAGGTAAAATTTTGCTGCTACTTTTAATTTCCAACTACCCTCTTTGGGATTTTAGCTAGTATTTTGCTGCTTTAGTTTATTAGCCAATCTTTTCCTATACTTTTAGCTAGTGTTTTAACTGATCTTTCCCTACTTTTAGATTTCAGTTACTGTGTTAAATTTTAGCAAACATTTTACTGCTTTTAGCTAGTATTTTGTTACTTTTAGCTGATCTTTTGCTACTTTTAGATTTAGTTAGGCTGCTGTTTTACTACTTTAAAGTTTAGCTAACATTTTTCTGATTTTAGCCAATATTTTACTACTTTAAATTTTTAACAGTCTTTTCCTTATTTTAGCTATCATTTTGCTACTTTTAGCTCATCTTTTGCTGCTTTTATATTTTTGTTACTGCTTTACTACTTTAAAGTTTAGCTAACATTTTACTGCTTTTGCGTTTTGCTACTTTTAGCTGATCTTTTGCTACTTTTAGATTTTAGTTAGGTTACTGTTTTAGTACTTTAAAGTTTAGCTAACATTTTTTCCTAATTTTAGCTAGCATTTTGCTACTTTTAGCTGATCTTTTGCTACTTTTAGATTTTAGTTACTGTTTTACGACTTTAAAGTTTAGTTAACATTTTTCTGATTTTTGCTACTTTAAATTTTTCAGTCTTTTAGCTAGTGTTTGCTACTTTTAGTTAATCTTTTGCTACTTTTTAGATTTTAGTTGTTTAACTACTTTAAAGTTTAGCTAACATTTTACTGCTTTTTGCTTGTGTTTTGCTACTTTTAGTTAGCATTCTATTGCTTAGCTGGCATTTAGCCTATTTTGGTTTTTAACTAGTGTTCTGCTTCTGTCAGTTTCAGCCTCTTTCTACAAAGTCAGCTCTCAGCATGCAGAAAATGCAATTTCTGTATTTTTATTAATTCCTGCTCATTTTAGCAGCAAAACTCATCTCGCACATGAACATTTTGAGTTAATATGTGGAACCTGCTGGGCTTTAGCTGCCTGGTCTCAGGTGTGCGGTCTCCACTTATTATAAAACCACTGAAGCGCGTCGCAGCCAATCAAATCTGAGAAGCAGAACATTAGTTTCCCCCACGCCACCACTCCATGCTGCAGTTCACTAAAATGACCACTAGATGGCGGAAAAACCCCACTCTCCGCGGCGGCGGGTCCCTGGATAACTGTGCGCTCTCTGCGGCCCCCAGTGGAGCCAGCGGATCACCAAACTCCAGTTTAAGAGCGCGCACCGTCCTCATCCTGCACATCTGTGAGTCAGAGTAAAAGCCAGGCTGTTGGAAGCGCATCCTCTCCCTCACTGTGCTCAAGCTGCGGGCGACACAAACCGGGTTGAGCTCCGCAGTGCAAGGGAGGGTTGTAGAGAGAGGTAGACGGTGGGATGGGGAGGGGGGACATAAAGGACCACAAGAGTGAGATGGGTCCGGAGGCGGTGAGGTATCCGTGATTGTCAAGTGAACCGCAGCGAAGTTCCTCTGCTCCGCTCGGATCTCTCCTACAGGACTCTCAGGTGAGTTTGTTTTTCTCCGCAGGAAACTGGAGCAGCTTTTGAGACAAAAAAAATCTGGATTTTCCTATAAATGATTCACAGCAAACAGTGTAAATATGCTGACAACCTGAGTAAATACAATAATAATGACTGGTGTCAGTTTGAGTGATAGCATATTAATTTTTTTCTACTAGGAAAGAAAAAACTATTTTTTTTTAAAACAAAACAACAAAATGAAAATCTCCACTGAGACTATGACCTATTTTATTCTCCTGCTTAAATGAGAAGAAGATAATTTCCTCAAGAGGCAGGATCCTCAATCCCATCTCTTTTCTATTTCTGTTTGCTTTCTTCTACAACCCCCAGCCCCTACCTCTCCATATGTCAACTCAAATACCACTTAAAGTTTGCAGCTGCAGACAAGTTCACTTTGCATAGCCAAATGAAATTTTATGGGTCCAATCTGTACACGTGAATAAATTGCCCTGGTCTGAATGTTGCCCTCTCTCTGGCTGATAATCAATATGTGACCAAACGATTGCAACAGGAGACTTGAATGTGACTGAATCCTTGGCCAAATCTCTGTCACTGAAGGTGAATGGTCACGCTCACACATCTGCCGTGCACACACCGAGTCAAGGGTTAAGGCAACTGAGCGGTGGTGATTGTCACAGTGTGCAGGAAATCAGAGCATGCAGTGGGTTGATTCTGACCCAGCTCTGCAATCAGTCTGTGCTATTCTGGTTTTTATTAAGAATGACAGCAAAAAATAGCCCATGCACGTCTTATGCTATTTGTACTTGTCAGTTTCTACAAAAAAGAAAAAGAAAAGATACAATCAACTATCAAGAAGTGCATGTAAAAATGAGATCTTGATACCCAAACTACATTAAACAGATGTTTTACTTCAAAAAGTTCATTAACTTGTCAAAAATTAAATGACCAGATGAGGTTTGCAGGTTTATTTTCACGATTTTAGTCATGCATTTTTTAAAATGTTGCACTCTTGAGTTTTGTAAAGTTGTCTACTTGTCACTCTTGTTGTTGTGTGTCATCCTACAGTGTTGTGTTTTGCACCTCTTAGCCAACACAGATTTGTGTTATGCGTGCGTTTCAAAATTACCCAGTTGTCAAATTTTTTTTTGCAAAGCACTGACGTCATCGCGAGATCGTGTGATGAAGTGTGATGTGCAAATTAATTGTCACCTCCGGCAATGTGTAGCACGTGTGACAGCTGACGCTTCTGCTGAACTGCAAGGGCAGATTCTGCACACAGAAGATGGATGTAGAACTCTTCCACATCTCCCTTCGCTATCCGTGTCATGTGCTATCAACCAGAACAGACAGGCATCTGCTGCTTCACACCCACACACACATGCACACAGAGGGAAACAACTGGAAAAGCTTCTCACCACTCCCACATTGGTTAGTTGTGTTTCATACACCTGCCATGTGGCTTGGGCCACGCTCGTTTTGTCTGTATACAGTCTGCTCACTGAGCTTATCGCTAAAAATAATCACTCTGAAC